AATTATATCACTTAGTGATGTCATAGTCACCTTAGTTTGGGTAAGTGCATTCTCTGATATTCACAGAATGATGAGATTGGATGACACATTTCTGACAACATGTTTCTTCTGTTAAGTGATTCCTGACTAGTTTATTTGAGAAGTGATCCCAAGAAACAGGTAGGGAAGAGTAGGCTAGTGAAAAACTGAGAAGGAGGAAAGGCAGGCAATACACAGCAGGTCATTACCAATAAGGGTAAATGGATTTTAATGCCACTGAGGAATTTTTAAGTCAGTGTTGAATATAAGCCTCATCTCTCCCATCCAGGGCCAGGCAGGGTGACACCAACTCCTGCGGGTGTCATTAGAGGGCCAAGAGGAAAAGCTTTATTAACTCCTTAGCAGTTGCAGCTGGTGATCGCAATAGCGAAGTGAGCTCCAGATGTAGGAAGAAGCAGTCAGGCGGAGCTACAGATGCCGCCTGTTGGAACTGGAGAGATGTGCACTAAAGTGACAAGGTGTGGGGCCACGGGTCACCACCAATGGCAACTGATTGCCTGGGTCTCATATGGAGTTGGACTCAAGGAGCTTGCACTTGGCAGTGTATCACACAAGCAAGCCTGGGAAGCCATGGGGACAGGGTGTGACAGGTGAGAGGCTGGAAGAGAGGGAGAGAGGGTGCGCTTCCCGCAAGGGACAAGGCCATCTGAGTCTGCACGATAAGGAGGTGGTGCCTGGGAAAGCGAAGAAAACATCTTCTGGGTAGGGCACTTACATGCGCAAATGTCAGAAGGCACAAGAGGGCATTTTGACAAATGTTCTTTTCTGTCTTGGTTTTCATAGCATGTGTTCCCTTTTACCAAGAGAAGCCTCCCTTCAGCTCCACACGCTGTCCACCATGCCCATTACTGGATGTCTAATGCACTCGACAAATTCTATTATTTTATCCTGGATGTGTGGGGCTATCTGTTAATATCTGACAGTTATTACCCAGAAACTAAATGAACCTTGGAGTGAATATTTTCTTTTCCTTTAAAAAAATAAAATAAGAAGAAAAGGGGAAATGTCAGAGAAAAGGAAAAATATTTTAAGCCATGAATCTTCACAGATGCATGGCATGCTTTTAAAAAAAAAAAAAGAAAGAAAAGATGTGAATTTGAGATGGCGCTAGGATGCATTCCCAAGACCAGCATGGATGTCACCCAGGCGCCTACAAATGGCTTATCAAAGGCTCCAGCTGTGGGCTGGACTCATTTGTCAAAAGCCTGGCAACTGATGATGTCATAGTGGCAGAGCACTCAAGTGCCTCATTTAGACAAGGTGTGTTGAGGGAGCAGTGCAGCCACAGTCCAGGCCACCCACAGGACATGTTTTCATCATCACCTGCTTCTTTTCTGCTCTGGATGATTTGATGGAACTGCTCTGGATGCTGGTGGCAGAACACCAAGTGGTTTAAATGTGGCGTAAGCACCAAAATTAAAAAATGCCTGAACTGGCTTTGGGCAAAATTATGAACTAGGTGAGGTCTGGCTGCTGCCTCCTTCCGTGGTTGCGCCCTTTCCGAATTTCTTTGGCTAGCTAACAAGGTTCCATTGTCCAAGGATCCTAATATGGCCCCCTTGGGACTAGGAAATTTCTGCTACCCCAAACCAGGTGGATTTGCACTTTTTTCCCAGTACCCGGGATTGAACTCAGGATCTTACGCTTGCCAGGCAGGTGCAGCACCACTGAGCTACATCCCCAGCCTGAACTTGCATTTTAAAAGAGAACTGTGGGTAGGGACTGATGCTTACCACAGAAGAATGTCTTCATGACTGAGGAAATTTAGGCAAAATGAGAGCTGGATTTTCTGGCTCCTTTCTTTGAGATCACATCAGATAGATGAATATCTGGTTTGTGCAGGGCCAGTTGGGTGCCACAAATGTGGTCAGATAGTAATTAGGTTGTTAGAAGTTGGATAGTCTTGGGAGCAGGTAGGGACTGGAAGGAGCAGGGACTTTTTAGGGGTGCTGATAATGTTCTGTCTCCCAGGCTGGATGCTGATGTCGTTTACTTTGTGAAAACTCCAAATATAAAAACTAATCATGTGCAAAAAGCTTACTTTCAAAAACTAGATTTGGCAGGCCAAGGATTTAGCTCAGTGGTGATGCCATCTGCCTCACAAGAGCACTGTTCTGAGTTCAATCCCCAATACTTAAAAAAAAAAAAGGAGCTTTGGAGTTTGGGACAAGAAGATGTGATTCTGTGAGTGTCTGGTCTTTCCCTTTTATTGTGTCAGTGTATGTGTGTGAGTGTGTGTGTGTGTGTGCATGTATGTGTGTGTGTACTACTGCTTCCAATCTTCACAGCAGCCCTAGGGATTAGGCCTAGTAATTATGTCCATTGTGCAGATGTGGGTACCAAATCACAGAGAGGTCTGACTTCTTGCCCAAAACCACACAGCCAGTTAGCATCAGAGCAGGGATTCAAACCCACGTCTTCCAACTAGAGTCTGTGCTTTTTCAAGTATTGCCAAGAGTAGAGCCAACCCCACCCTCCAATACCCTTAGTGGGCTGTAAGGTAGTCCTAGTTTGGTGGGGGGTCTGAGAGGGTACTATGCTTGTCTGACACATGACTGTCAGGAGACAAAGGCCTGGGCAGATGTCAGCTGCAGCTGGTGGCCAGGATGGTAAGGTTCATGTTAAGTCTCCTGGGGGTGAAGCTTTTTGAAGTGCTCGTGCATATGCACAGGGACCCAGAGAGGAGTGGTGAGCTTGCTCAGGGCACAGGGCATGGCAGGCTCAATTTGGGTATGTCAAGGGACTGATGTTGAGATGGCTCCGAGTGGTCGTTTTGACCTGAAATGGAAAGAGCCCTGGGAACCTTCTGCCTTCAAGAGCTAAAGCAATAAAGGAATGTTTTTTGGCACTCCTGGGAACAAGGTAAGTAGGTAAGGAAGGTGTACATTTCACAAGGACACTACAACTCTAAAAGACCACCCACATGGTCTTCTGCATTGTGATATGCTACTCACCCATCAAGTCTATGATTGCACCCTTAGGAATATGGCAAGTGACTCCTTTGACCAATAGAATACGATGGAAGTAGATTTATCCCCATTCTTGGTGTGGCCTTTAATGGGCCTGGTGGCTTCCTCTTCCGGCATCTCAGCACTCAGCATCTGTGGTGTGAGAAGCTCAAGCCACAGGGACGTGCCCCTCCTGATAGTCCAGATGAGGTCAGGCCAGCACTGACCACGTGTGCCACCTTGGATGCTCAGCCTAGGGCAAGCTGCAGATGACTGCACTGTAGCTGCTCAAGAGACCCCAAGTAAGAACCATCTGGCTGAGACCACTCAGTTCATAGAACTCAGGCCACAATAAGAATTGTTTTAAGTCACTAAATCTTAGGGTGGCTTGTATATAAGAAGAGATACTGGAAAAAGGATAGACAAGGGCCTCAAAAGATTAAAGCACAGGATTGGATTGCTGAGGGTGCCAACCAGGGGTATAGGAGGGAGAAAATTGAAAGAGGCTTCAAGCAGAGTCAAGCTTCTATTCATAAAAATGCCAGCAATGCCAGGAGCGCAGAGATTTAGTTTCAGACTTGGCCTGGCCACCCATTAGCCCTGGAGCCTTTAGTAAGTCAACAGCTCTCTGAGTCTTATTCTCCTCATCTGGTAGAATGGAGATGATTCTTTCCATAAACTCAGACTATTATATTTGGGTCAAAATTAGGGCAGGCATTATGCTCATTGTAAGATGAAACCAGGCACTGAAAATGTGTGGAAGTGCATGTTAATTATATGCAAATCTCTTACAACAGTACATAGCACATTCTAAGTGCTCAATATATGTCCGTGGTCATTACTATGCTGTGGGTGCCACTTATTTCTCTGAGTAACACATACCCTGATGGCAGCTTTAAAAATCTAACCAGGTACAGCTCCTTTGGAGTACTATTTGGCAACAAAGTTAAACACATACCTTATGACCTAATGACTCCGAAATTCTAATCCTGAGAATACTGTATACCCAGCAAAATTGGGCCTTTGTAGCCACCAAAACACGTATAGGACAATGTTCCCAAATACTTTATTCATAATAACTCCAAGCTGGAAACAATCCAAATGTCCATCAAGAGTCAAGCGGATAAGTAAATTGTGGTATATTTATATAATGGAATACCACTCCATAATTAAAAAGGATGGACTATTGTTTTATGCAATAGAAGGGATGGAGCTCATGGAGAATGAGTGGAAGAAGCCACACACCACACGGGCTGCATGAGCCCATTTACAAAAACAGGTAAAACTAATCTATGGTGGTGGGGATCAGGATAGCTGGGGGGTGTTGAAGGAGAAGGGCTGTGAGGGAACCTTATGGGCTTTTGGCAATGTTGTATATCTTGACCTGGGTGGTGATAATGAAAGTATATTCATTTGGAAGATTAATTCATATTAAGTGCATACATTAAGATGTATGCACTTCACTGTATCTAAGTTGTTGGGTCTCAGGGCATAATACCCCAAAGTACAGGGTTTCCTGTGCTAGTACTTTGAGCTAAAACAGATGGGAAGGCCTCTGAAGCAAGGTCTCTCTTGACCTTCTCTGGTCCTACTTGCTCCTGTCCCACTTTTCTCCCCTGAGGTAAGACCCCATATCCAGAATCCTTCTTCCCACACAAAGTGGGTCATAGAAGCTAGATTTCCTGTCCCCGAAAGCAAGGCATAAAACCTAGAAAGATCACTCTCTCCCTTTTCTTTTGAAGATACTTATTCCAGAAGGGTCCTGCCATGTGTTCAGGAGGAGGAAATCCTACCCATTGAGGCCAAGAAGAGCCCCAATGAGTAGACCTTGCCAGGTTCCGCCCCCCAGCCTGATACCTTTTGTCTGAGCCCCTTCTACACGGCTGCCTATTCTTCACTGCACCTAAGCACTGCGTCCATGAGTCTTCATTTCTGAAGGCTCTGGTGTCAAGGCAAACTTTGATTAAATAAATTTACTGTTGTTTTTTCTTGTTAACCCATCTTTTGCTCTAGGAGCGTGCTTGTGACCACTGCCATTGTTATGATGGGTGAGGAGGAATCACACTTTTTGGTCTGGACAAAGACAGACTTTATAGAAGAGTGAGTAAAGGAAGGGGTGGGG